TTTGTCTACAGTTTGGTGTGTGTGTGTGTGCGTGTGTGCGTGTCTGTGTCTGTGTCTGTGTCTGTGTGTCTGTGTCTGTGTGTCTGTGTCTGTGTCTGTGTCTGTGTGTCTGTGTGTCTGTGTCTGTGTGTCTGTGTGTGTGTGTGTGTGTGTCTGTGTCTGTGTCTGTGTCTGTGTCTGTGTCTGTGTCTGTGTCTGTGTCTGTGTCTGTGTCTGTGTCTGTGTCTGTGTCTGTGTATCTGTGTGTGTCTGTGTGTCTGTGTGTGTGTGTGTGTCTGTGTGTGTGTCTGTGTGTGTGTGTGTGTGTGTGTGTGTGTGTGTGTGTGTGTGTGTGTGTGTGTGTGTGTGTGTGTGTGTGTGTGTGTGTGTGTGTGTGTGTGTGTGTGCAGGCGAAAACGTCATCCAGAGAACCGAAACAAGTGATATATGTGCGCTTCGTACTCATGCAGACATGTCTATGACAATATTATTGGGAACCGATGGGTGCTTACAAACATATGAGGTGAGGTATTGCGAGGAGCCCTGTTCTTTTGAGTGATACCGGCAGATTGGATCTGAGGCATGGCATACCTCGAGCCTTTGGGTCAGGGCAGAGGCTCAAAGAGTCAGTTGATTGGTCGCTAGTGAGCTGTGGCGCTTGGGGCCGCCCTGACTTTGTGGAGGGTGAAGCTAAGTATTTTTATGGTTCGGATACAAATTGCCATTTAATTTGACTGTGAGCTTTTTTTGGGGGGCGGCATGCGGGTGTCAGCTTGTGAATGGCGGGGTGTGAAAATCCATTCGCAATGAGACCTCTCGGCCTGGGGCCCCAAGCCATTGATGCAGGAGCAGAATCTGAGTTGCCTCAGCGCCACTCGAGCTTGGGAGGTTTCTTTCTCTGACTATTCAAGCCTGAGCTTCCTGGGATACATGCAATCTGAACTTAGCGTGTGTCTTGCATCAACCAAGACAATCTGGGAGGGATGGCCCCCTGAACTCAACCCCCAGAGCATTCAAAAGCTGTACGCTCCAAGGGCTTTCAGAGCAGCCCTTTTGGAGAGGTTTTTGGGGGATCTTCTAGAATGGCTTTTCAGCCAAGGTATGTGTTTGCTCGGTATGTGGGTCGAGTGGAACGGGATGGTTAAGCTCGGTGTAGCTTCGGATCATGGCAAGACGATCACTTGGCAGCAACTAAGTCGCCTTCACGCGGCAGGCGCAGTCTGCGCTCATCGAGTCTACCATCGTGACAATTGCGATTGCCCAAGTTTTGCGCTGCACGTGTGCAGCGTTCCTTCCTGTTTCAGGGAGGCTTTGCTTTTGTTGTGTTTGGACCCTTCGCATGCTTCCCTTTTAGCCAGGTTTAGTCAAATTTTGCTCAGGTCATCGTGGTTGCGCTGGCGCTGATGGGTATGCTGGTGCTTGCCTTGGCAAAAGCCAGACGTCTTCCAGAAGCTTTGCTAGCCCTCCATACAGGATTCCATGTAGCTGCGTTCCGGTGATGTTTGAGCATCCCCCTTTGGCCATTAGTCCAGTTTTCAATTGGTGGCGTGATGTTTAAAGGGGAACCATACTGTGGGTGGACGAAATCCTGCACCACCTAAGAAACCCTAAAAAGATGATTCCCCCTGTAAATACCAACAAATAGTGGTTTCTCATGGATTCAAAGTGATGCAGGATTTGGTCCATCCACAGTGGGAACCCCAGAGGAGATCCTCGACCCACCACGGCAACAGCAGCAAGCGAGCAAGCAAGCCAACAAGCGCGCGAACGAGCCAGCGACGACGACAAGGGTGACAACACTGGCAACAACATTGGCAACCACAACCATTGTTGTGTTCAAGATGAGAACACCCACACTCTACTGTTTGAAATACAAGACTCGACTGCGCTGCCTCTCCCTGCTCTGTTTGTTTGTTTGTTTGTTTGTTGTTTGTTGGCTGTTTGTTTATTTGTTTGTTTGTTTGTTTGTTTGTTTGTTTGTTTGTTTGTTTGTTGCTGTTGGTTTGTTGCTGTTTGTTTGTTTCTATTTCTGAGCCCCACAACAGACCAAACATGTAGATTTGAGACATCACCGCCCAGATCTTTACAAGAGACGGCAAGCTCTCCTCCTTTGTCGTGGCCTCTACAATGCTGGTGCCGAGCTTGGGGGATGCTATCGCATGCAAGCTCATCAGAGAGGTTGAATGCGTCAGTACGGTGGTCTACTGTACTATGATTGCGGCTGGACAGGGTGTTGATACAGTCAGAAGGATGTTCGGCACTGTGACCAAATGTTGGAGATTGTGTGAAAGAGTGCTGAGGGGCAAACATGATGGTGACTGGTGTGTTCGACAGTAGCAAGTTTCTGAACAGCTCAAGAACCAGTGTATTTCAGTGCATTTCCATTCCGACTCCAGACCAAGCAACCAGCGAGCGAAAGGCCCGTTCGGGCCCGGAAATCCATCAGCTCGGAGCCGGGCCATAAGACTTTCTGCGTTGCCTCTGCCTGCGCTTCTCATTTTTTTCGCACAAACTAGAAGCAGATGCAGCGGTTCCCTGCCTTTTTGGGATTCCCCAGTTTCGAGGGGAGTTTGATTTTGGTCTCTTGAGACATGGCGTCAGAGATGAGCCCTGAGGTTATCTTCATGCTGACTTGGTTTATCGTGGTGGTCATGGCCTGGCCGAGCCACGGCTGCAGTAAATGGGCTTGGGAGCGGCATGCAGGATGCAAGCATGCAAACCAAGCAATGTAACGGATGGCTTCTGACATCTTCTGACCTCAGGATTGGAGCGATTGAAGTCATCGCGCTGATTGTCTTCATCGGATATGCAGGGTTCTGAGATGACGAATTCCAGCGAGTTTTGTGCAGCTGTGAGTGCGTCAATCTTTCAGGCTTGGCAAGCGTGCGCTTCTAGATTGACCCTTCTTGCATGTCTTTGACCGAGGCTGTGACATACTCCCTGCACATAGCCCACAGGCCAGTCGTGTTGAAACAAGCCGATGCCGTACGGATGTTTGAACACTTCCCCATGGTTGACAATGAACCCCGGCTCTTTGACTGCGCCCACCTTTCGAATAAACACCCTGGGCAAAATTCCAAGCAAGGTTCTGCTATTGGCAGCTCACCCGCACACTTGCGCAACTTTGGCGGCTTGCCAACAAGAAGAGGCTCAGTGGTACACACACACACGTTAAGTTTGGTTGGCAGGTTTGGCCCCTTCTGCACGGCTGACATGGTCCCACCTTGGCAGACCTCAGTCGAATGGCCCAGGTACGGAAGTTCAGATGTTCAAGAAGACCTGGCCCTCGGCGGGTGCCCTTCCGCTGTGTTACCATGCCGTGATGGGGTAGCAAAGTATCGTGCGCGCGCTAGTTCCCGATTTCCCCAATGTACCTTACAACAGACAGGAATACATGGAATAAAAGCCATGAAGCAAAGAAGCCGGCACCTTGAGAAGTGGCTATCCGTTTTCAACAGAAAAAGAACGTAATTCATGTCCGTTTCATCAAGCTGCAGAATGTTCGTTTCACCACCAGGGATGCAGAGAACGTGCGCTTCCTGCGGACTGTCTTCGCGCTGGCTTCCATCGGTAGAGCAGCTTTGGGGACGGGCTGCAGGGGGCGGGGCCAGCATTCATCACAAGATCCATGCACACCGTGGAAGGGATCAAGGATTGCACATTCGCCCAAAACAGATAGGCACCATCCTAACTGAGACAGTCGGCTACTGCGCAATGTTATTATTATTATGTTTTTGAGTAAACCAAGTCGCGTTTGTTTTGCTTGCTTCTACACAATTTGCACCTGCCCGAAAACACAATCCGAAGTCCTGTGTTTTGTCTCAAGGGTCAGCGATCATCCTAGCCACGAAGCGTAAAACTGCAATGTCTTTCGCTTGGTCGTGACATCAAGTTTCCCACTGGTTGGATCGTCAAAATCTGGGTTCGTCAGCCTATCCCTTGAATGTGCAGCGCTTGTAGCACAGTCAGAACGGCATGTACAAACGATCCCTGCTATGAAACAATGTTGCACAGACTCCTTGTGTGTACCAGCCACATAAGCAAGGGATCATCCGTGTCGAACATGTGGCGGTTGATGAGGTATCCGCATACAACGGTTTTCACCTACCCAATAAGCAAATGAGCATGACACCTCAGAACATGCCTGGTTGTGCTTCTTGAACCCTTTGGCAATCGAGCCAGTGATGGCTGCCAAAATGCTAGGAGTGCAGTGACAACAGCGGGTTGTTCCATTTTCCTGGTCTTCTGCACGCTGACCATCTTCAAGAAGCTAGGAGGCAGGCTTCCAACCATCCCACCAGCACAGCTTGCATAGGCTGTGGCGTGTTGTGCCTAGAGTCAATGCCGATTTCATAGCGATGGCCGGCTATGACTTCTCTTCACCGTTTGCCTAGGTGTAGTCCTTGTGGTAACTGTCATGTCCATCGGCGTGGCGCTGATTCCACTGCCTGCTGCATTGCTTCTTGTCCAGACCTTAGAACACTCAGGGACAGGTCCAAGCATCACCTAAGGGAAGAAGCAAGCTTAGTCAGTTGCACTTGCTTTTTGGAGGGCACCCCGTTTTGGGGTTGTTTTGAAGGAACACCCAAAAACCCAGCTGTTTGAAGCTGTTGCTCTATTTGGAAAAGCCGTGCAGCATGGCTCAAACTGCAAGACTAACTTTGCAATGTGTGACTTTCATTGAGTCGTTCACTGATCCGCAAATGTGTGCTCACTTTGCAAACAGGTGAGGGTCATTCAGCACTCGTCTCTTTGGCTTTGCAGTGAGGCACTAGCGCATGTGAAGGGAGGGCTCAGCAACCATTTGGACAAGCTGACTTACTCACCCAGTCAGCAGAGTAGGTATTGTTGCATGGCTTCAATTATCAATTATGTTTTGTTGATGAGTCTGAGGCAACACATGCTACTCTTCAACAGGTTCCCAAGGACAAACGTAATCCCATGCCACGTGCTCGTTACTTCCATGGGTATGAAGATGCTGCCTTTGCTGAGCCTGTTTGAATCACAGGGTTACCCATGCAGGGTGAAGCTGTTTTTGCCAGTGGACTGCCACTGTTGCCCTTTGCCATGGATGTCTGGGCCGCTCCGGGCAGGTCAGCGTTTGATCGGGCTCTTTATCGATGGAAACTGGCTGCTGCAAGGGGTGTGGTTCAACCTGCTGACGACCTTGGGATGTGTCCACTCCATGCTTTTTGGGGCCTTCCACATGGATTTTTACATGGCCCGAGGCCTGTCAGCCACGGAGGTGGCCGCTGTACATAGCTTTTTCTCCCTGTGGAACCCGCTGAACGACATAGTCGCAGGGCTGCTGGTAGATGAGTGGGTAGCAAGGGGCTTTGGCTCCCGCTTGCTGTTGGCGGTATGGGCCAATGCCGGATATGCCGCCACCACTTGGTTTGCGTTTCAAGAGCTGTCCCTGCCAGCTTGGGTGCAGTATGCACTGGCCATCAGCTTGTCCGACGGCTTCGCGGCTGTGGCGGGCGCGGTGAATGGGCTGATCCTCATCGAGCAGACGTCAGAGGACCGGCAGCGGATCCAGATCCAGCGGCTCAACTCCTTGTTCGGCTGCCTCGAGTGGCTGGTGATGTCTGGCGCCTACTGGCTCTGGGACGCCCGGCCCGGTGAGGGCCAAGCCTTCCGCGGCTATTTGTCGGCGGTGTGCGGGGGATCCCAGGTCTATGCACGTTTGGCAGGATTTCCCATTGCCCTTTTTTCTCGGCATACGATCGAAGATATCAAAGTCCTTGGTTGAAGTCAAGGACCAACAATCATCCGACTAGCGGATCTTTCGTGCACAGGGTTCCCAGGCTTTGTTTTTTTGTTTCAAGGAACCATCATCCAACTTAGCTTTTCGGGTACCTAGGATCGGCGCTGGTCACATTGCTCTCGGTGCAGAAGCTGCAGCCTTCGAAGCCAATGCGCGCGGCCCACTCCGAGAGCTTCTGGCAGAGGAAGTCGGACGCCGCGCTCGGAGTCGAGCGCTGGAAACGAGGCAAAACGTAGCCGTTGGCGCATGGCCGAGTGGTAAGGGTGGAATTTTCATCGACCATGTCACATAAGCACTACAAGTGCATATGTCCACCATGTCCACCATGTCCACCATGTCCACCATGTCCACCACACCTCATGTTCACTTCGAAAAGATCAGGCCCCCTTTGAACTTGGCCTGCCATGAGATGCTCTTGTGCAATCTGAGTTTCTTGAAATGCTGATGCGGCACTTCCCTTCCTCACCAATGGCCTGCTCATGTTTGCCACCGTGAGTTGTGTTGTGAGGGTACCCGGTGAAAGGGAAACAAAAAGGAGAACTTCCATGTATGAGGGTACCCCCCGGTACGCCCTACTTTGACACATACCGAATCATCTCGCTTTTGCCAAACTGCTTTCCTGAGTCTGGTTTTGTGGAGCTCATGTTTCAATGCAGCTAGCCATTGGTCGTTCCTGCACGCATCCACAGTGTTAGATGCAGCCCCTTCAGTCTGGACTGCTTCGCTACAGTGGCACGGTTTCGCTCAAGCCAAGCAATGTTTTTGTTCTGCAAAGCTCCACTTCAAAAAGGTTGCCTGCGCTATTGCAGGCTGTTCCATGTGATGTATCTCCACATTTTATTACTTCCAGTGGGCTTGCCAAAATTAGATCTCCACGTCATACACTGCACTGGGTCACTTTTTGCTGGTAGCCACTTGTGGGTCGCACACCATCTTTTTGGCTGGCACACACCGAGGGAGCCGATGCTTGTTGCCGTCCCGTTACACAGACCTTGGCTTTGTTCAGACTAGGATTCCATGACTGAATCTGATTTTGGGTCATTTTCAGTTTTGGGCTTTCAAGTCGACTAGCATCTCAGTTCCATCAAACTGTTTTCACTGGCCGCAGGATGCGCCAGTTTCTGCGCCTCGCCAATCAACATGGCAACTTCTGGCGCTACGCTGCGCTCACTGCTGCGCTCGAGGCTGAGAATGTCTTCTTCCGGCAGTTTGACGCGCCTGGGGTCGAGGGATGGCTCGACAGTACCCCAATGGGTTGCTCACATCCGACGAACGCTTTGGACTTGTCTAGTCTGTCCCCAAACCAGAAAGTGCGTGTTTGAACGATGCAATGATGGATCTATTGTTCTTTTAGGAGCCTGACGAATTGCTTGCCTGTAGGTGGCCCGCACTTTCGTTGTTCAATTGTTTGTTGCACAAAAAATCCGCCAAGTGCACGTGCGACTTAGCAGTCATGTTCAAGTGTTGTCCTGCGTCTTTTAAAATAAGGACGAGACGCCAATCATTGCCAATCATTCAGAAATGAATCCAATGAGGTAGGCAACATGAGGCTGCGGGTATTGGTTGTTTGAGGCGGTTGGGTGATCGGCGTTTGCGTGTGTGGTCTGTGTGTGTGTGGTCTGTGTGTGTGTGTGGGGTCTCTGTGTGTGTGGTTTGTGCGTGTGTGTGTGTGCGCTCGTGGTTGGTTGTGTTTAAGATCATGTTGCTTATTGATCTTAGCTGGTGTTCGTCGGGAGACACGCTTGCTTTGATTTGGTTCTACTATATATAGGCATATTGGATTACTATGTTTAATGTCACATCTCTCGTTGACTCCTGTTGCACCCAGCAAACAAAGTTGCCTCGGTTGGGCCCACGCATGGGTCTATCCTGCCTGGTGCGACACTCTAGGTCATCATCATCCGCCTGCTACTCAACTCCTGGCTCACCTGCGCAAAGGTTTTGCTCATGATCGGCGATCCGCTTTGCGGCTGTTTCTGGACGAAGGATTTGGCACCCGTATCCTTCTCTCAGCAATGCGTATTTGCATTTCTGGGTCTTTTCGTATGGAAAGGGCATGGACGTCATGTTTGTGGGGTTCGCAATGTTTAGGAAGCGCAGCGGTTATTGTTGTTTCATGAGCTTGTTTCATGAGCTTCTGATGTATTCGGCACTTGTCAAGCTGAATGCCGAGATAAATCCTGCAAGCCTTGTTGGGCGGAAGATGATAGACTCCACAAACAGCCCTTCCTACACAACCGTTCCCCCGGTTGTCAGGCTACCGTTGAGGTGATTCCTTTTGTCAAGGCAATTGATTCATTAGGTCTCCCAAACATACACGCATACCCTTACAAGCCCCTTACCCGTGTACAATCTATGGGTTCATATCCCAAGTATTCGGGGAACATGGGATTTTTCGGACTTGCGGGAAACACGGGGATTCCGAATCCCAAGCAGCGAGGTTTGTCCTTTGCGCTGACCTGGGTGGCCGAACGGCCCGGGCTGGGCGTCTACTGGGTCACTCTGGGGGCCTTGCGAGTGCGGATGCTGGTGAGTCTGGTGTCCTTGAGCCTCGTGGCTGTCTTGCGGCTCGGTGACACGGCGGCCTTTTCGTTTTCTAGGTTTTGTTGTTTCTCTTAAATATCTATGTATATATATATATATATACATATTTATTTATTTTTTAAATGGGGGGGGGGGAACCCCCAGTGTTGGCGGAATCCAAAGGAAACCCATTATATTGTGGAGGGGTCTCCTGGTTTGAGACAAGCACATGATTTGTATTATGAATCATCGCCAATCCATTTTATGTCGAGGGTCTGGACCGCCATGCCCGAGGCTTCTCCAGGGGACCATGCCTTCTCAATGCTTGGAACCGTTCTAAAGGGCGCTATACCCAGACATGAATTTACTTGATGATTGCTTTCCCAGCTCCCCCCCCCACACGAAGGTTCAACGCACTGAGTACTCTTTCTCTTTTGGCGCTGTTTCGCAAGCAATTTGGGCCCCTGGGACTGGAAATGGAACCCTGTTGTTTTCCCTGTGGTCAAAAACCATCTAGGATCCCCAAGAAATCAAACAGGGGACCCGATCAGGCCGACGCCGAACCTGCTGGGGGGGGACCGCCCGAGAAAAAAACAAACTGAGAAGGCGCGATACCCCGAAAAAAGCCGATGTGCGTTCTTACTGTAAGGTACCTCATTTTTGGCCATAGGCTTTTCCCAAGTGGATAGTGCCTTGTCATTAAAAAAAATAATGAGCGAGCACGCAGGGGTTGGGGGAGCACGCAAACCCGGAGAAGGCCCGCAGAGCCCCCGAGAAGGCCCGCAAAGCCCAGAGAAGGCCCGCAAAATCCGGAGAAGGCCCGGAAAAAATCCGAGCGATGTGCGATGTGCAAATCCGCATCCATGGCTGCTGGTGATGCCTGTGCTGCTGCTGATGCTGGTGATGCCTTTGATGCTGGTGATGGCTCAAAAATGGTGATGCCTAAAAGTATCTAGCCAGAGCCAAGGCTGACAAACAGACATGCCAACCCTTGAGAAGGCACGCTTATCTGGGGGAACCCGCAAAATCCAAAGGACGCGCGTCCAGACTCAGAGTTATTGATGTCCGAGCCCTTGTTAATCACGCCATACGTGTGTTCATTGTGTTTGTTCAACTTCAAAGATCTTGTAGAGGCGCTTGGCTATGAACTTTAAATGGGAAACACCCTCAAGCCAATACATGTGTACCCACCTGATCAAACTACTCGGTGTGCACTCTGTAAGGTAATTGATAGCCACTTTATCAAGCCACAAGTTGTGTGTTACTACGTGATCTACGTGCCCCCAAATGCACCTATTTTGTGGTACTTGTAGCCAGCGCCAAAGGTCACGCATCTGTGATTCGGAACAGCCTCAGACATAATTGGCATAAACAGACCTAGGCTGTGCTACTTGCAGCCCGTTCCTACCCTGATCCAACCACTGCTTTTCTGCCCCCAAGTGAATCAATCACCAGTCTAAGAGTCGCCTTTGAAAAGTCGCAGGTGGGTTCTGGACGGCCGCTCCGTGGCTGCGTCGTGTCTCTTCTGCGTGCTCATGGTGCTGCTGCGCGCGGCCACACGCCCGGCGGCGAACCTGGGAGCCATCGCCTTCGCATCGGTGATCCAGGAGCACTCCCTGCTGGCACAGGAAGAGCCGATCCGAGCGAGCGCGGCTTTTTTCCGGAGTGAGTCGCACCGGATCCGTAGAAAACAGCGGGGAAATCCGGACACGAAACGAGGCTTTGGAGCAAAGGGGTATTTAAGGTATTTGATTTGTTTGTTCCCTCCAAATTTGAGGAGGCCATGGTGTTCTTGATCGTTCTGGTGTGTTGGCTGCAAGAAATGAGTCAAGAAGGTCATGAGTATTGGACACATGATAACCCAGAATCTGGGTTCTGTTGGACGTGCAAAGTGACTTGATGCTTGTGAACTATGGCCTTGTCTTTGATATGAGGAGATCGCCGTTTATAGTGCAGTAGATACACAATTTCAGGATATCGAGAGTTACAGGTCCTGATTTTGGAGGATGCTTTGCATGCAGGCAGCCAAACAGTTGATCCCAGGCTGCATGTTCCGCGGGAATTCATTTCATTCAGCAGCCCCAATCGAGCTTTCCAATCCCGAAGAGCCGGCCCAAGTCCCCCCTCTCCGCTTGTTTTGGCCTCTCGATTTGTTTTTGTCTCGCACTGCTTGCCCCATCTGCGCATCAGGAGCTTTGCCATCCGCTCACGGAGGACGACGCGGGAAAGTACTGGATGCTGCGGGCGGCGCTGGTGAAGCCGCTGAACTCTTTGGGCCCCGTCCTGGGCACTTCCGCCTTGGCCGCCGCCGGGTACCGCCCGACGGAGGGCACTGTCACTCCGGAGCTCTGGTGGCTGTGTGCCTGGCTGCCGGCAGTGGCCTGGCGGAGTGAAGGACAGAAGGACCAGTAAAGGCACGGGAATTACGCCACGTTTTGCTTTGACACATGTCGTTTGTAGTTTTGTTGGCTGTTCTTTGATTCTGATCTCCCTATGTCCCTGTTCTGCGATGATAGTTTTCAACATGAAGTCCCTTTCTCTCGCAGATTCCCGACGGTTTGTTGCTCAGTCTCTTGGCCTGTCGGGAATCACTTGTCCACATAACTTGAGATGCAGAAAGCTCGACTGCCCTCGACGAGTCCAAAGCCAGGGCTTCACGTGGAACAGGTCTTATTGGCTCGGCATGTTTGGCACGTCGCCTTCCAGCCATAAATTCAACCCCCTTCACATGACGGTAAGTTTCAGCTTTCGAGCGAGCTTGTGCGCCCAGGTAGTGTCGCTGGCCGTGTCTGCCGCCTCGTTGCGGTCATGGATCAACTTCACGCTGCACGGTGAAAGACTAGAGCAACTGAAGGCATGGAGACCGGAGCTTCAGAAGGTGTGACAAAGCGGCGAATGCAGACTCGCAACACGCAGAGGGGGAGGTTTTCCGGCAGCCAACAATATGGAATAATGATCCTTCCATATCCCTCCAGTGTGGAATTGGAAGACTGGCGGCAATGCTTGACATTGTCCATGCGAGTTTATCCTTGCCAGCGAAGGGCTATATTGTGTACTGCCTAGATGCATCGCGTATGTTGCACCACCTTACCACTACCTTAGCCCAACCGACCCGTGACATCAATCGCAAAACCGATCCACCTTGGTAGTCCAAGCCAATGGTCACGTGGTTCTTGAGTAGTTTGTAGAAGTTACCGTGCTTTTTGATTTGTGTTATTTCTCTCTATGGCAACCGAATTCCCAAGTCTCCCCCATCCCAGTTCGGACCTGTGCGGCCTGGCTTCTGCTGGTGCCTGCGTCCTTTGGAGGCCAGCTTGCGGTTGGGAGTCGGGGAGGGTGCCTGGCATACATGGCATACATAGCAGTTAGGTGTTTGACATCTTATGACCTATCAACTATCAGCCTATCAGCAGAACATCCGGTCGAAACATGTTTCATGTAGCACAGCACACATGCATTTGCATGGAAGTCACCCAATCAACGTGCAGTGATGAACTGCAAAGGCCATCAGACTTGTTCCCCAGCAGCCAGAAAGATCGAACAACGTGATTTTGTTGCTCTAAGCTGTCGTCAATGCTTGAACACGAATGACTGCGGGCTTGAGCTTGGTTTCCAACCTCTGATTTTAGCCTCATTCTGATTCTGAGACTGGTGTGTTCTTGCATCTTGTCTTTGCCCAGACCTGGCTCTAGCATCACGGCTTCGAAGCTTGCAATCTGTGCCATCGATGGAAGATAGTTTCTCACTTCCAGGGGAATGATAAGAGACCAAGTTTGACACATTCTCAGATTTGGATGGGCAGCCCCTTTGACCCAGCAAGTTGGCCGTTTTTCATCCATGGGCCCATGACAGTGGGTTGCCCCGCGAGCTAGTTTTGGCCAAGGGCTGCTTGTTTGGATGGGATCGCACTGCAAACAGCAAGGAGCGAGAACAGGGTTATCCCCGCTCTGTGATACAAGGGAATCTCCTGCTTTATGGGGGGGTTAGTCTTTGGGAAGCCCTTGTTGTTGTATCACAGAAGTGGTCATTTCCCACAGCCCGGAGCGAGAACATTGCTCTTACTGTTGTTTGCTGTGCTGCTGATACTCGAAATAGTTTGTTGTTCAGGCTGATTCAGGCTCTTTGAGTAAACCAAGTACTGCCAGCTTCCTTTGTACTCGGCGGGCGACCAAGTTACCCCTTTATTCTTTCGAACCAAATGCTACACACCCTGCTATAGTTGCTCCGCTGGTACAAGTGCAAGCCTTCGGATATGGGTGCCAGGCCTATGACAACGTGGTCAACGCCAGGGTGCGCACGCCAGCCACGGTGGTCGAATCCAACAAAGGTTTGGCCTTCAGCTTTGACTTAGACATAGGTCCCAGGTAAGTCAGGTAAACTCACACCTGCAGTCAAACGGCATCCGGTTGCTTTACCTTTCCCCGCAAGTCGGCCAGCTTCGAAAGGCCAGCGGTTGTGGTCAGGAGAACATGGTGCGCTCCCTCGAGCAGCGCCGAGAGCCTGCCTGGCCTTGGTTTCGGGCCGCTTGAGCCACTTGGGGCCCGCGTTTCCCGTTTTGGGGGCGTTCAACCTGGCCAAGTTCTAAGCAGGTTTCACTAGAATATTGCCAAGTGAGCCTTAGCTGAGGAAATTCAAGGGGCAACCGCTTCTCTTGTTGAGACTATCTGAAAGATTTTATGTTTTCTTTGGAGTGACACGCCTCCGGCCGGCTGTGGGATCGATCAATGATGATGTCAAATCCAGGTGTGTAGATGCACTGCAAAGAAGGCTCCGCAGACATGATTCTTGTTGATGGTTTGCTTGCTACCGTAATGTTCCCAAGGTTGTCGGAATGTCGCAGTCAAGCTTATCGAAGCTTACCTGTTGACAGGGATTGAACTGCCACTTTGTTTGTATTTCCAAACACTTTTAGCAGGAGACCGTTTTGGTTTGGTCCCCAGGTGCACCGTGCCCCCCAAAGTCGTAACTATTTGCCACCGGAGCGTTGGAACATCATATTCATCATCGCTTGCCCCCTTATCCTTATCCTATCAGCCCGCTACTTCTTTCTGGTGGGTGTTGAGCTTCAGTGTTTGGTAACTCACAGCAGCTCCTGCCAGGGAACAAAAGCAGCGGCAGCTGTGGCAGCCCCAGATGCTTTGCTTGGAAGCTTTTGGTGGGCCATAATTCAAGCTCTCAGCACCAGTGCTGCTGAGGGAGAGATCCGAGACGCAAAGACTAAAGAAGGAAGAGGACTCGAGCCGGATAGCCAAAATACATGGTTTGCAGTTTTGCTTCCGAAATTCCGCAAGAAAGTGGCCCCAAACCAGTGCTCTGCTTGAGAAGCCACCCTGAGCCTTTGCCTCGTGTTTCTGACGTTTGCTTGCAGGAAGAGCGAAGACAGAAGGAACAAGCAGAGCAGGCGCATGAGCGCATGAGTGCATGACCGGCGCACTGGTCCTGCCCAGCGCTGATCAGGCCGAGGCACGGCGAGCAGAGGAGGTTCCGAAGTTGTGCATGTGGCGCGAGACAAGCTATTGTAAGTATTCAGACCCACCCAGTGTCTTCTTCAGAAAGAAACTCTCCTGGTACGGTGTATAGCTTAGATAGATGTTTGTTGAGCGTTTCTCAGCCAAGAAGCTGCCCACCGCTCCTTTGACGAGTTGCGCGCAGGAAGCAATGCGAAAGAAAGATTCTGAAAACAAGGCCTGCACGTTGCCTTGCATGGAGAGACATTCGGACCCCTCTACCCTCCGAAAGGTTCTCAGAACCTTTCTGAGCACCTCTTCTGAGAAAGTTCTAAGTACGAGTACATTCCAGGGGAGTGTGAAACCTTGATATAGTAAGAGCTAGATGTGGCAAAGCACGACATGGGCTCCAGCTTGCTTGTGCAGTAGAAATTATACCCTACGTTGGTGTCCGATCATTATGTTGCAGGGAGTCTAGTCAAGCTTGGCTTAACTCATGACGACTGTCGGGCCCAGCCTTGCCAGCATTCCGATCAAAGCCGTTTTGGTCGTGCCTTGTGACTGGCGAGTCTTCCTGGGTCCCCACTTGGGCTCCGCCTCGCTCAGGCCAAGCAGGTGGCCATTGCAAAGGCCCGGGGGGATGAGAGGTGTCCACTGCACCCAATTTGGGCTTCCAATGCAGAGCGCTCCATCGCTGGAGATGACGTTACTAGTATCACAACTGTTTGTTTGGGTCAATAATTGCATCTGAACAGAAGGCATACTCGGTGAGCAGACACCGTGTTTGGCGCTTCTCGCTTGAAATGAACTTCCTCAACCATGCTTGTTGGGCACTGAAGTGTTTGGCTCCTGTCAGTCTGCGCTGGAATCGGCATGAGGCGGTTGCATTTTGTTATAAAGCGTGGCACGTGTTGATCATTTGTTGGATCCGGAGTCTTTTCAAAACAAGCCTTGGCTCTGACAAGCTCTGACAATCCATGGAACGAAATGTGTGGAATGTGTTCAAACTCGTCCCCAGTGTCGGTGGATTGCAAACCTGGCTGGAAGTCGCTGTGGCATTCCGCTGGGATCCGTGACCATGCCTCTTCTTGCCACGCAGGGTCGCAATGGTCATAGGACTCAGCGCGTTGACATTGGAGGCAGCATCAAAACCTTCTGCGCCCATTCGGAAAATCACAGTTTCGTTCGAGCCGTGTCTAGGAGGTTCGAGAGGCACAGAACATGCGCGACAAAGAGACGACTGTTGACTTCGTCAGCTGCAAATGGTGCAAGCAGCCGGAATTGTCCGCAGATTCTTAACCAGGTTGCCAGCAACCATGTAGAGAACCAAGAGTTTCAAACTGCACGCCCACGTGGTGCGGAGAACGACGACCTGCTTTGTGTCGTATGCCGGACAGAGCCAAAGAACCATGCTTGCGTGCCATGCGGCCACCTTTGCGTGTGCGCCAGGTGTGGCGGAAACGTTGAATTTGCTGAAAGGAAGCAATGTCTCATGTTCCGTTCTACACGCTCGCAGATCATCCAGATCTTCACATAAGAGGGATATCCTTGCCTTGTGCAGAGACACCCTCGAAGGATCTTATAGTCCTTGCCCAGACTCGCGAAAAGTGGAGCCTACCAGTTGGAGACGTTTGTTTGTCCCAACGTCGCATTCCAAGGTTTCTTGCGCTCAGCAGTCACATCGTCACATCAACCCGCTTCAGCTGTTCGGTATGTGTTCTGCTCCGAGCAACTGGGACGAGTCTCGAAGGCCTCCCACACGGGGCTTACGCCTGCCAGGCCAAAGCCAGAGCACTGGCGGAGGCACAGGCGCGAGGTACACTTCATCATAGAGATCCGGTTGGGGGAGATGAGGTTTGGTCAAAGTTTTCCCGCTGTCTATGGTTTGTTTGGGAGGACCTGGAAACACTTACCAAGTTTCCCACAAAACCCAGAGGACTGAGAATTGTCCTGTGTCCTATGTCCTTTGGGGGTATCAAATAATTTTGGCCGTGCCTCTGGGTCCTGGGAAAGATGGTTTTTCGGGCTTACGCTTCGGTCGAGTGATTAGCCTCCATGTCCACAAACTCAGGGGGAATGGTTGTGGCCCGGAAGTTAATGCCAGACATCAAGATGTTTGGGTGTGACTGACCAATATCTAGCATCACTATACACGTTGCTTGAAGGTCAGTGTGCGTGAATTGTCCAAGTGCGCAAGGCTCATGGTCTCCGCTTTGGGAGTGCCGCTTTGAGTTGACTGGCCATGTTTGCTAGTTTGATGCGGAACGCATGTTTAGCGTGGTGTCACTGGACTCTATATAGCTAGACCCAAGTTGATGGTTCGCGATGTTTGTCCTCATCGCGCAACCGGTGGGTTTGTTCGGGGTCGCTGCAGCTGGTTTTCCCTCACAGAATGATCAGGCAGCGACTTGTCAAACTATGAATGTGTTTTGTCAGTC